AATAGCTTTATATTCGTCAAATTTAATTAAAGCTTATTGATATTGTTAAAGAATTTACTAGTCATAAAATAGAAAAATTCAAAAAATGGCTCTATTACATTAAACTATACGAAGTGCACTATCTTTTATAAAAAACTAAATTAGTAATTATTATACCAATTCGAGAGAAAACTGTACCGAAAGTTACTAGTATCCGCAGTAATCCGCAGTAATTTCTAAAAAAAATTTATATGCGGCCCTAACTATGGTTTGATTTACCGATTTGATGAACACCCTAACGGATCACAGTATGATCGTTTCACATAAAAGATTTAAATTTAATGCGGTTTAGAATTAACGTGCGGAAATCTAATTTTGTCAGAAGCAGATAACATATTTATTTTCAAATGAGCGATTTATCGACTTTGTCGTTGAGAAGTTCATTTATTTCATTTTTCGATAAATTTGTAATAATGTTTTTGTCGTTGAAAAGTTTATTTATTTCATTAATTGGGAGTCTTTAAACACTCCCATTTCATTTTCCGATTTGGGTTGTGCCGCTTATATATGGTAAAATATTAATAGTATCCAAAAATGTTTGAACCACAACAACAATTGTGCAAAATAATTAATAATAATTAAGATTCGTCTCATTGAATGACTTGCTCTGAAGTTCTCTTCAAAATAGCGATAGGTTTTGTTTGATAGCTCAAGATGTTCTTATTATTTGATCACTTATATGTTGGTGTTTTATTAGTACTGTATGCTTATGTACGTAAGTATATAGTTCTTAAAATAGGTTGTGTAGTAGTTTATTGGAGGTAACATAGTACTGGTCACAATAAAGAGTGGTTATATATAGTTTACTCCTATAAGGAAATTTTAAAAGAAAATTTTAAAGTTCTTTATAAAAGTAATTTACTATGTTCCTATACCAAACTCTAATAACCGTTTTAAGAAGTTCATTATAGAGTGGATTCATTATAAAAACGTTCGTTATAAAGAGAGATGAACTGTTTGCATTGTATAGGTGTATCAAAATAAAATGAGATCGGATTATCAAGTGACTGCGCCCTCAATTGGTGGTAACGAAGGATTTGCTTAATACTGGTTATAACAATCAGTGGTTACAAATAATTTTTTCAATGTAATATTATGCAATTTTCTTTATATCGCTAAATTTAGTTTAATATAAGATACATAATGGGTTGACCTGAGTTATTTAGATTAAAAAATAAATCATCAATTCATAATCAGCAAATTTCTAAAAATGGCGCATAGCAAATATACGAATAACGAATAAATAAAATGTATTGATTTTGAATAGCATGTTTTTATAAGTATATATTAATACGCGCAAACATACAACTCATAGAGTCTGTAGAGTCATATGGAAATAATCTTTGTTGTAAGTGTGCACTTGATGCGCGTCATTCTTCAATTTATGTGTTATCCATAAATAGTATGTTTTGCAATTAAATCTATGCCTAAATATTAAACACGAAAACAATCTTTGTTGAGATTTTTCGTCGAGGTTTTCAGTTTGATCATTTTCATTGTTCTATTAAGGCCAGACCAAGTTGATTCTCTGTTTTACATTACCCCCCTCTCCCCTCCGGAGGAGGGGGAGGGGTGGTTTACATAGTAAAATTTAAAAAAATTTTTTTTTCAAAAAAAAATTTTTACGAATTGTTCCGTGACTATATAAAAATTGTCCGAAATAGCCCGAAGTTCTATATATATTTATCTAATTTTTTTTTACTATGAGGAAGAGGGGGGAACTCTGGGGAGGGGGTTGGGGGTAATGTAAAACAGAGAATCAACTTGGTCTGGCCTTATTGAGATATTCCTAACAGCATCACCTGTAGTTGCTTCACCCTATTATCACCCTATTAATATTAAAGCCTTCATTCCATAGTGCCATATTGTTCTAATAGACATCCGATAGTTATAAAAGACTCCTTCGCTTCTTTATCTCCCCGTACACCGTTGGGGTTAAATTGGCCTTTTATCTACATAATTCTATTAAGCTCTCTCATCAACGGTTACAGTAGTACAGAGTATTTTATACTCAATAAAACTATCATCTATACCCAACACTAATAACTAAGGCACTTTGATCAAGGCATGTATAATTTTGGTCTGAGTAATTAGGATTCTTTATCCAACAAGTCGTGCTGCGAGGTCACGGGATCCACGAATAGTCTTTCAAGATATCTTTTACATTATCATTCGCTAGTAATATAATACTGTAGAACATGCGTCTAAATGATTACATCACTCTTTAACCGATTACTTTTTTCACCAATCAAGTCAACAATAAATCGACCATTATGTATATTTATTTATATTGATCTCGATATGTTATATGTCTTTCAAACCACAAAAAAATTAGCCTATGTGGTAAGGCCTAGTATATGATAAAACGTTGCGAGAAAATTTTCATAAGAACATAAAATGTGATTCTTTGTTAGCTTTCGATATAATGTTACACTGATCTTATGATCAACATTAGAAAATTTCGAGATTTGAAGTTTAAAAAATAACCAATATTGGAACGTTATACATGATATACACAGTACAATTGATTACTGTAGTACTGTATAATTGTTTTATCACAGGCTTGCATTTTAATAGATTCCTGATCACGCAATTTGGAAAGCACGATAATAAGTATTTATAAAAAAGCAAAAAAAAAACAATATACAGATGACATGGTTGCTATCCACTTCTCATTAGTAAAAAAAAAAAATTAGATATAAATAATCATCGCGTTGTTATCAACTCTCATAGTATCTAAGCCAAATGGGTTGATATTAACGAGGGCCATCAGTATTAGCTTATAAGATTAAAATTAAGAAGTTATGCACCTTTAGAATATTAGCGATTTGAAATATCATATTTAATAATAATAGCAGGCTAATTTATGAAAATATCTATTATTATAACATCAGTCGTGAGGATATTGGGCATGGAGATATCAATTAAAATATTAACTATTGTAATGTAAACCATGAGATAACAATAAAAAAAATTATGCGCAAACAATTAGGAGCCATGGAATAAACGGGAGATATTGCATTTGAGGAGATAAAAATCTTTATTAGTTAGCCATATTTAGAGAGGATTTTCTTAGAGCGCGGATTTTTGGTTTGACAATATATGGGAATATAAAATAGGAAATAAATTCAAATCTTTTTAAATATATTGCAATGGGACTATATGTAAATAATTAATCAAATGTGCATTTAAGAAGTAAAAACCTGTAAGTATTTATATTAAGTGGAACCGTACATTTAGGAAATGCTGCATTTAGAGAAGCATTTAAGAAGTATTGCATTTAAAGAAGTATTACATTTAGGGGAGTATTGCATTTAGGGGAGTATTGCATTTAGGGAAGTATTGCATTTAGGGGAGTATTGCATTTAGGGGAGTATCGCATTTAGCATTTAAGGTACAGTATTGCATTTAGGGAGCTAAAAATATATAAATATTTATATGAGATTTTTCATGAATCGTAAATGCAATTAAAAAAATCAATGATCACTATATTTCTCCCCCAGAATGTTGTGTACATACATACAAATCAAGATAATACACAAATATGAATTAAAAATTAAAATTAATATCAAGCGTTTTTATTGTACATGTGTGATCAACAACACCAACTTTATATCGATGCGATTTGTCGATCAGATGGAAATTTGTCATTAAATCCGTAAAAACTTTATATATAAAAGTCTGATTTCAATTCATCTTTCTGAAAAAAATATTCATAATTCTAAAAGATGATGATTTTATATAGCATTCAATCTTTTATTTTTATTTTCTCGTTATTTTCATTCTATAAACTAACGTTATCGGAAAATGAACCATTTTTATATAAACGTTCTCCTGAGTATCTTATCAATAACCATTTTTTCGAAATTAGACCAGCAGAGGATGCTTTTTCTCTTGACGTTAAGCCTATAAGCTATCCTGATGATTATACATTAAAACAATTATTTTTACTTGCTAGACATGGTAATTATTTATTTATATACACAATGAAAATTACAAAATAAAAAATTTAATATAAATTTTTTTTTTTTGGAATCTATTTATTAGGATCGAGATTACCGAATTTAGACCAGATTGCAGGTTTTGATAGAATTGATAAAGCATTTGCAAATGTTTCCGTAGCAAAAGATTGGGTAGCTATTATATTCTTATTTTTTAATATAGTACAATGTTTTGAAAATAATATTTGTAAATCTAAGTAAAATAATTTTTATTTTAGCCTAAACATCCTTTCACCGAAGAAAAAAATTTTCGATTAACTACTAGAGGTAAACTCGAACCTTATTATCTTGGCTTACAATCTCGTAAAAAATATGAAAAATTTTGGAAAAATGTCGAATACGACGCTGATATTGTAAAATTTCAGACTGTTGGTGTTTTTTGGTAAGTTGTGCATATTCACTAAAAGACTCTAGTCCAAATAAGGTTAATCTAATTGAAATTAGACCCAAAAATTAGAAGTATTACAAATTGTGATAGCTGAAACTAATATTGTTGAAGTTAGGATTAAACTTATTTTAATATGAAATTTAAAAGTTTTTTATGCGTATTTTTTTTAAAAAAAAGACTATAAGTTAACCTTTTGTAAGTTTAACAAGTTTAGCGGATCTATATAGGCCTCGAATCCCAACTTTAGCCAATACAAGCTTCAGTTACCAAAAGTAATAATTTAAGCATATAACTTATATTAAAATATATTTCTTAAAAAATATATTAAAGGATCGGTCAATCGGTAATGTCTTTTTCGGAAGGATTATTTGATGGAACTGGCCCTGTAGGCGCCTGTAAAAATGAGCCAGTATTTATTTGGTCTTTGCAACCGGTAAATATTATAAGTATTATAAGTATATATTGATTTTTTTTATTTATTCATATTATTCATATTATTTTTATACATTTTAGGGCCATGATTATATTTTACAAATGTATAATGCTTGTCCACGTTGGAACCAGACAGTTGCAAATAATTTTACACATTATATAGAGCAAAGTTATGCTTATGGTAATAAGACTTTAGCACCAATAGCAGAAAGGATGTCCAAAAAATACGATATCAATCCACCTCTTGATCCAAGTTTATTACCATATATGTTTTATTATTGTCAATTCTGGGTCCTTCAATTTAATCGAACCGATACTTGGTGTGGACTACTAAGTGATGATGATCTTATATTAGCTCGTTATTATTGGAATATGAAAAGTTATTTTCAATATTCATATGGGAATCCTCTTAATGAGCAATTAGGCTGTGCCTACGTTACACAATTTGTAAATAGCGTTGAGGATTACTTAAACGGAAAATCTCGGATGGTAGCTGATATGAAAATGGGTCATGGATTTACTGAGTTTGTTGTACTTACTACGTTGGTATGTAAAAAAAACTTTATTATATTTATATTATATTTCAGCATTATTTTTTATTTTATTTTTTTAATTGATTATTAATATAAACTGTTTAATTATACTGTTTAATTATAGGGTTTATTTAAAAATGAATATCCACTTACAGCAGATTTAACTCTTGAACAAATAAAAGGCTTAAAATATATAGAACAAAAAGAGTTCTATTGGGCTTCTACTATATACTTTGAAATTTATAATTCTACTTCTCCAGGCAAAGATGCATTATTGCGACTTGTAGTTAATTCTGAACCATATATAATTCCGGGTTGTGATGGTGAATATTGTAAATGGAACAAATTTAAAAATATTTTGAGTAGTAAGATTAATTGTGATTTTGAAAAGTTGTGTGCTTATCCTTAATGTTTTACTGTATAGTTGAGAATGTATTGATATATGTTCACGTAGATTAGATTTGTGCATAGTGCATACTTTATTTATATAATAATTAGCATAGAATGCAGTAATAAAGTTGTTATTATTATTTCATTCTTACTATTTGCGGTTTGAATATATATGTTGTAAGTGGAAATGAGGTTAGGGTTAGGGGTTAGGGTATACATACGATAGTATCAACCCCAAAATGCTGGTTTTATATAAAAATTCCGAGT